TTAAAGGGTTGTAAATATTACAGGAAACAAATTATTTGTTTTGTGTTATATAAAATGAAAAGTTTTCCATTTATCAGAAATTTTTTTTATAATAAACAAAATTATTAGAGAATACTCTAAGTGCTCTTTATCAAATTATTTTGTTAGTACATCTTACCAATGTATTTTAATAGGCAACTAATAAATCATCTTTAAACATAAACAAAGCTAAAAATATTGGAAATAAGAAAAAATTTTTAAAAATAACTTGAAAATTTAAAAAAAAAAAATAATATTGAAATAATATTCTTATTTGATAATTAATGTCTTACTAACTTTTTGCAAAAATGTATTTGTAATATTATATAAAAGATTAAATGTGATCTGAAAGTATTTAAAAATTTAAATGAACAGTACATCTAAAAATATTTTCTTCTAGCTATAATTCAAAAAAAAAATTTTGAATATTTTTTTACGTAATTATTTTTTTTTTTTCATTTCTTTTATAATAATTTTTTTTAATTTTTAATTGTCTTTTTCTGAAAAAAAATTTTACTCATCAATGATTTAATCTTTGTCAATTTCATTTTTTTTTTTTCTTTTTTTTTGTATTAATAAATGAAATAGGGTTTAAAAATTATATTTAATACATAAATAATTATAATTCACTTCTTTAAAAGAAAAAATGTCCAGATAAAATTTATAATCAATATATAAATTGAAACACCATATGTAATAAATGCTGTAAGGGAATATTTTATAGCTAAAGAGAATACGCTTTCATGTATTTTGAATTCAAAACTATCCAAGTTAATTCTCTTAAAAATTATAAGTTTAATCGTAGTTATTAAGAAAATCTTCAACTTAATTTCTGTAATTATTTAAAAAACTATTAATATCTCAAATTATAACTTTTCAGTCATAATGATTTTCTTATAAAATTACGCTTTCAAGTAACAGTGAATATTTTTTATACTATTTAAAAAATATATATATATGTATATAGTTTATCCGACTCCACATTTAAGTGTAATATTACTGGCAGTTTTTTATTTTGTATTTTGTTTCGGAATTTATTTAAAGAAATCCTCTTTTTTTTCTTAATAATATACATACAAATTAATAAAAAAATAAAAATTATCCTTTTTTTTTCAATTACAATTTTTCACAATATGTGAGTAAAAAAATATAATCAATAATTTTAAAGGAGTTTTCTTTTATTTTCTTATCAAAGCTTAGATTATTTTTTTTTTTTTTTTTTTTTTTTTTTTTTC